TCCTTGTCATAGATCTTAACCAGCACTGATATCTTAAAGTCATTTTCCACGATAAGCGGATAGACGAGGAAATGGGCGGGGATTCGCAGCCATCTTGTCTTTCTTATTGGTTCGCCCTCTGTGATACGATAAAGGGAGGGGCGCGTCATTGAGGAAGTCAAAATGTTTATATGTCTCCACCCACTTCCCTGTCCGTGCGATTATCGCGGAATATGCCTTTGAGGGGGAGGGGCAGCCAGTGAACCATCACCAGATATGGTAAATCAACTACTCCTCAAGCTCCACTTTTAATGCAGTAAAGAGAGCTGTCGATAGAGAAAATATGTTGCAAAAGTTCCAATTGTTCTTCCTTATTGTTCTATTTTCATTATCGATTTTCAGACTTGCGTCGCCGACGTCGCTTGCCATCCACTATGGGCTAAAGGAATGACAGCCATGTTCTCCTATGCTTGCGGAGAGGGCAGTGAAGGCTATAAAAAGGTTAGGTATTCACAGGCTGATGATTATGTGTTGGAAATTGATAACTAGTTTCAATAGATCGAGATGCTTACTGATTTTTCCGCGATAGCCACACACACTTTGAAAATTTGAGAAGTTGCTGCACAAGAAATATTCAAAAAGGAATTGCTAGCATATCACCTCAAGGAATGATGAGGCCTTGGATCTGAATGTGATTCAGAGGGGCGGGGCGTCATTCGTGATGCAATCCGGACGAGTTTTCCATATGCTCACGAGCCGAAGTACATTACTTGCTGGGTCTGTCATATTGTCTTCAAAAGAGTCCTCATTTTTGAGAAACAAGTGGGCAGCTCTAACGGCTATTGACCATCTGTAGAGTACATAACGCGTTGACTAAATAAAAAAATCTGAAAAATGTGGTGGGAGTATAAAAAGTACTTTAGAAAATCGGGCCTTGTTCAGCTACGGTGGGGGAGGGGCGGGCAGGGTGTGAGGAGGGCGTCTTGCGCTCGAGTTACTTCCTTCTGTTAGTTCATGTCAACTGACAGGTCTCACTTGGGTGAACCTGTAAACTCTCGCGCAGCTGCGGAACGGTATGGTTACAGAAATTCACAGGCCTTCACAAAGTGACGTGTGCAGGTCTTGCTGGGTACCATGTGGTGCCCTCACCAAGCCGAACAGTGCCGAAAGGGGTGTAATAAAAAAACTGGAATCAAATGCTATATTTTCGAGCATAGTGAAAAGCCCTGTGGTGCACTGTTCACCCCTGTCGAAGCTTGGGCGCTCAGCAACACCTGAGGATAACTTCAAACTAGTTTGTGAAGTAATCAGGCGTAAGCGTACCAATTACTGGTTATCCATCACAAAGTAGGTCAAGCGCCAGTCACGGTTCACTGCCCACTTAGAGCGCTAACCGCTATTCGCATCCGGTCACTGGCTCTTTCCTGGGGACTGATACAGAGCCAAAAAAATTACGGACCAGCCGCAAAAAGCGCTGCCGTGGGCAGTCAAATACAAGGTGCTGGTCATTCGTTGCGTTACCCCATGCCTTTCTGCGGGATTACTTCTTTCCAGTCATCACGACAAAGCATTCAATCCTGTATGTCTGTCGCGTATGCGAATACGGAAGTAATTACGGAACGCACCATAAACGGCACACTCGTGAAATTGCTAGCAAAAGATATTGATTGATTTATTCTGTCTTGTATTTCGCCCGAAGAACTTATTAATCAGTAGTAGTCCCGTATGTCACCGGCGATGTTTGTCGCCAGTAACAATATAAAAGTAATCACGATACCAGCCGGACTTCTTCAATCCCTTCGAAGAGGAAATCTAATTTACTAGAATGAGCTGCATCGAGCCGTCTTATGTGTATGTCATCGGCGATGTTCGTCGCTATTTTCACGCCATGAAATGAGGACTTCAGGTCCGACAATGCCTGCGAAAGGTGGTCTCTGGAGATACCGTTAAGGAATGCGTATCGACATTTTCACGAGGAGCGCCAACTCAGGCTTGCTTATCTGCCAATGCTCTGCTAACGTGCGCTATTGCTCCCATCCAGGTAATTTTTGTGTATGTCACCGGTGATGTTCGTTGATACGTAATCACTCTCTTATGTAAATGTTAACCAACTTTCAGACAGAGTGTGGTGAAGAGACATCAGAATGGGTGCTTAAATACGTTACGAAATTCGCAACTGCCATTGATCCTCGCTGTAAATTGGCCAGCCAGTTGCCAAGTAAGTATAGAAGTTGTGGCTGATTCATAGTTTTGGCCCAAATGCACCCTCATGCCGTATCCGTTCCAGTTGGCAAAGTGATCGGTGTCGGATGTTCTGGCGATGAAGAGGCGAATTATCGAGCACTGTGCCGCTCCACTGAATGACATCGGCAGCCGGCTTGAGGAGCTCTTTCCAGGGTGGTCTTACAGGCGATGATCAAGAATGTGAACAGCTTGGCGCCAGTCTTTGCGGGAGGCTGTAATCTCACAGGTAAGTCTCATGAGGTTTTAAAGATGCAGTCAAGTGCCAGTGCTGCGATCTCGCGAGAGGAGCATGGGGGTACCCGCACCACTGTGCTTTTCTCATTGGTACACCCTTCTCTTTGCTGCATTTGAGAAACGTTAGCAGCTGTGAAGATACATGATGCTATGAGTCTCCGCCTATTCCTTCGCCAATCAGTTCATGGAAAGTAGTCTTCAAGGTTCTTTGATAAATTCTCCACAATCGAAGCGTTTTCCATTTCAACATTACAAATGGATCGTAATACGGTAACTAAGAAAATGTCCGAAGTGCATGGTTGATTCTTATGGGCGGCAGCTAAAGTCAGTTTCGAAGAGGCACAGGCAGCGTCGCATCAAGTTTCGAAAAAGCTCTCATGTTGTATGCTTTCTCGCCCAAGTCGGAGCAAGACTTCCCTGTTCCAATGTGGACTTGAAGGCACAAGTCCTCGCCTGATCATGTGGAACGGGGATCGGCGACCTCAGCTTGCCGTTTGTGCGCCTTCTCATTGGAACGTACCCTTCTCACGGTAGTGGGGAAAGAGAGGCTTCTAGTGGGTGCGAAAATTTGAGGCCGCCTTTGTCTACAACGATGATTTGTGGAGTGCATTAAGCAGTTGGCAGATGATTGGGTTGCTCGCCCTCAAATGGTAGTAGGGCGCTATATACGTGGGCGAAACGGAAACGGGCGAAAGAACGCGAGTGAAACGGTTCAATCCTCCGAAAAAAGACTCCATTTCACTATGTTAGTAGATCAATTTTGACGAAGTTTACGAAGGCATGTTTAGCAATAGGCGCCACGAAGGTACGGCTTGCATATGTGTACTCATATATACCAGCCAGCATCACGCTGCTTAAACGATGCTTTAGGCTTCATATTTACCTTAGCAATGAATCAATTAGGCTCAAGGCACAAAGATTAAACAATAATCAATTAGAGCGTCTGGAACAGTCGTCCATTTGTGGGCGGGCGGGCAAGGGGGCGTTTGGGACGTAAAGTTGTGGCTTGATAGCGCCCTTATAAGGGCACCTTCCCTGGAAAAGGCATTATGCAGCGCCTGCTCAGGGTCGCGGAATTCCTCGTCCTGCAGGTATGTAAGTTTGTCGTCTGAAGCGATTTATCGTGCAAACTGCCCTTAAGGTGTAGATTTGAAATGTCATCTACGTTCTCACTAATATTTGAGTTTTATTGTTTTTACTGGTGTCGATGTTGTCAGTTATGGTCTAGACGGGACCCATGGACGCTGTAGAAAATGGTCTCAATACTTAGAAAACAGGTGCCAGAGCTTAGAAAGAATGTTTAGATGAATTCCGTCAATGTGCGTCGTTCCTGTTCACTGGGCGAACGCCATGCGTTGTGTCGTCATGCCTGATTCGTGCCGGCGAAGGAATCTGCAACCAGCCTGACCCTACAAAAGCCATCGACGACAATCTCAGCTGCGTATTTGCACAGGTTAGCGCACAGTTCACGTCGACGATAATCTGCTTGTAATACACGGTTTGAAGAAGCCACGCCCACTTTTACGTCGGTCCATTGAGGGCGCAATTCAGCGTTTTTTTACGATTTTTGAACAGTTGTGCGCATGAAGCAACAGATTTCCCCCTGCAGCTCGGAACCCCCTTAGTTCTTCTGCGGGACACTAGTTTTTTTCTGCTGCAAAAACAAAACTGTCTGTCTGTGCCTCCTACACAGTCTCCCTGCCTTGACTGATCCCGTCGGAAATTTCTACGGGCCTTAGGCAGTGTGAAAATCACGCTCACTTGTGATTTTGTTAATTATCGTGAGTAACCCTCATTTCCTCATTTTAGCGCAGCTTCCTCTTCCTTGTTACTCACCTTATTTTGGAAAATTAGAATGAAGGAAAAGACCTTATCCTCAATAAAATCTGCGATAACCAGACGCAGAAAAAAATGGGCGGAGTCTCATAGCTATTGTACCTTCTCCATAGGTCCTCTCTCTTTGATACGGTAAAGGAGAGGCGCAAGTGCAAATGAAGAAAACGGAGTGGTTATGGGTTTGTCCCGTCCACTGAGCATCGCGGAATGTGTTTCTAACATTCCCTAGGAATCCACGCCCATTTTGTCAGCTTTATGGGCATCTGCGCGTCGCATTTCGAAGCTTACAAATA